AAGGATCCGTTGGCTGGTTGGGTGGAAGGAGCTCAGTTTGGGGGAGCTGCGGGAAAGGGAAGGGGAAGCTGAAGGGGGACATAGCTCAGGGCACCTCCGAGAGAAGGGGGAAGATGAAACAATAGGCAGAGCGCCGTGGATTTACCTCGCTGCCCAGGATACGGCTGGAAGACTGCAGCGCCTGTATCAGTGTCACACGCGAGCACGGATCTCTAAAGAGACTATATGTAATCTTGAAAAAATGCATCCCAAGCCACAGGCAAAGACGTACAGTAAGTTTGAGCACAGCTAAGAAAAATTCCCGCTACTTCAGCATCTAGTGCAGGTGTCTGTGCAAGCTATCAACAAGTCCCATGCCAGTGATCTCAGCTATGTTGTCAACAGGTTGCAAGAAGTGCTCGCAAGACTTTTTATAGTTTTCAAGTGATTTAACTCCTCGGTTGAAGGAATTTTTTTTTCATTTTTTCCCTTTACCCGTTCACAACGGCTCCTTCTGATACTTGAGGAACGCTGCTGCTGCTATTGTTGGGAGCACAAGGCAAGGGTTTGGAACAATTGCAGCAGCTTATCTCTGTACTGAGCTTTCCATAAACACCAGGTGTGTGCATAGCATGGCTCTGCCTAAATCAGCAAGAAAGTCATAACCCGCGGGTCAGAGGCAGGTCCTAATAGGCTCGTGGGGCAATTGTTCTTTAATTACCTCCCGAAAGATGCACATCTTCCAGCCTTTCAAGCTGCAGAAGGTGGTGGGTTTCCACGTTAAAGGAAACTGAACGCAAACGCATTGCATCTGTTTGGTTTTAGCTCGATCTGCCACGTAGTGTTTCTATCAGTTCTTTTTAGAACTTATCTTTAGACAAACAGCCAGTTTCTAAGCGGCAGCGTTTATCTCCTTGCCTTTTTTTTTATAAAGATTGAGTAAAATCAGTGTGTTTCCAAGCAAACTTTGGAAAAATGCATTAAACAGGCTGAAAGTTCTCATGGATTTTGCACGCTTAAGTCGCACAGTGCGTTCAATAAATCGAAACCCTGGCACTCCCTAAGTGTTTTAGCAGTCAGCATCCAGCTACGTAAACTAGACCAGACTTCAGATATAAAATATTACAGTTTTCTGCTTCAGGGTTTTCCCAGAGGCAGTGTAAAATAAATAGTTATTTGTTGTAATTGCAAGACAAAGCCCCAAAGGATTAGGCTGGAATCCTTGTGTTCAGATAAAGTTGGACTGAACCTTGCTTCAGCAGAGACTCGAAGCAATAACGTATTGGCACACAGTGTTCACCATCTGCATCCAGTAGCCATGAATATTTAAATTCCAGTGTTACTGGTATGGTTTGTATTAGGATGTCATGTATCAGTGCATTCCTAAATTTCGCATGCAGCAGTCGGGGAGCAGTAACTTACTGCAGAAATAGGGAGCTACAAAAGTGTGGTGAGGGATGGAGAGCTAGGAGAGGGTGTGAAGATAGCAGGTTAAATCCAGGGGCATCTGGGGGAATACTTAGAAATGCAGTGTGGGGTTTTGGTGGAGCAAAGCCCTGTAGCTGGAAGGTGCTCCCTGATAAGGTGAGCAGGTAATGAACGTGCTCCCTGGCTGGCTGCAGCACTGCAGCAGAGGCACGTAGCCAGCTGCTGATGGGATGGAGGGTAGGACTGGGCTTTGCATCCCCATCCCTTCGTTCTGGAAAGGATTTCAGGAGAAGACAGCCAATATCTGCACCCTCCCATGTGCTGCCAGATGTGCAAGACATCCACATCTTCCAGAGTGGGAAAGAGCGAGCCCAAGCCCTGGTGATGCAGGAAGGTCCTAACAGAGAGGGTTAAAGGGAGGGATTCCTTTGTACCACAGCATTCAGGGGAGGCAGCAGCAGCATCTGCCCACGCTGCCTGAGCCATCACTGTGACTATCCCTCTTTATCTGTTGAGGACTGGAGTCTCCCTAAATCACACCTGCCTTCTGGAACACAACATTTTATACTTGTAAAAATACAGATTCATGCAAGAATGATGGGGTGCAGCTTGTTCTTCCTAGAGGAGGCTTAATGCACACTTTGTTGAAGCCCTCCAGGATCGTTGGAAGAAAGCTCATTCTTAATCTAGAGAAGTGCCCAAATTCACTCTGAATTGGCAGCTCTGCCTGAGTCATCCCAGAAAGAATAAAATGTTTTCCAAAATGTATCTGTTCTCACTGCATCTGCTAAGAACCTTCCTGTACAAAAAAAATAACAGACAGTCACAATCTGGAGGGGGTTTGGACTGGCATTAGTGCCCCTGTGAGAATCCTGCTCAGAATGAAAGGAGGTAAATTTGGCAGGAAGATCCCTGCCAGGAGGAATGGCTCCTTCCCTGCCTCGTGTCTGGCTGACAGCAGCATTAAACAGGACACACCAACTTTGCTGCCCTTAACAAGAGGAGACAAAGGCCTTGAGTCTGTACTGAGGACTAATAAAGGCAGCAAATGAAGCTCTTCTGGGGTACAAACCTGCTGATGGATCTGCCACACAGCCGCCTAGAGAAGCTGGTGAAACCTCCAGAGAAAGTTTTGCTGTAGATTTTGCCATTCAGGCCATAGTGCACCTGTTGCTGAACAGTTGTTGAGGTTTTTAGCTGAAGCTTTAGGTTTGTAGCCATTAATACAACATCTGATGTTTCTGTACCGCTGCTCCTGAATATAGTCCTGTGAGAAGGGACAGGTGCAAGGAGCTGAATTGTTCTTTGAGGGATGGTTTATAGTATGGCAAAGCTCAGGAGATTATTCAGTGCCCTGGTGGTAAACGAATCCAGTTGGAGTCTTAAAGCTCACCAAATACTATCTAGAAAGGCTCAAGGAGCAAACAGAATGAATAATCAAGGCAAGAAAAAAGAGGCACGGCCTGAAGGGAAGAAAAACAATAAAGGAAAAGGGGGAAAAAAGGAGAAAAGTCATGTTCTACCACAAAAACACACCACTACAACTGGGAGGAAAATTCTTGAGCTGGCCCAGTGGCCGCTCCCTGTGCTGCTGGAGATCAGATGTACGGAGCTGCAATTTTGTCTAGCAGTTGGAGTGAGTTAAGGACAGGATGGATCTCCGCCCACATTTTTTTCAGCCCTCACTCTGCCTCCTGACTTTTGTGGGTTTGAGTTACGTTCTGAACGCTGTTTCCACATCGTCGTCTTCCACGGACGCCTCCAAGTGCCACCCAGAGATCAGAGAAGGGGGAACTGCAAAGGACTCGTCAGGAGAGAGCATCCCAGGGACACCTCGAAGAAATTTCCTTTGCCAAACCAGCAAGAATTTGCCCCCTCTGCCCCAGATGAGGGTATCCCACCCACCCGCTCGGGCGCTGCTGCTGCTCCTGGGTTGCTCCTCACCTGGTCTTTGGATGGCCAAGTTCATGTTCTGTGTACAGGGCATGCCCAGGGCTGTACTCAAGAACAGCTCTCGGATTCCCTGCCTCAGACATCCCTCAGCAGTGTTTTCCTGCTTCCCAGGGGTGGCAGAAGACAAAAAAACCCACGCTGGTGCTGAGGTCTGTGTATTTACAGGAAGGTTGATCTACTGCTCACCAGTTACCAGATATTTTTCACTTTAATGGCTGTTTGTCTTCAGCCTGAGAAAGACAGCTCCCCATTTCTGGATGTCCCTGTGCTCCTTAACCCATGTTACTTTTTTACACCCTCTCTACTTGTTGTCAGTCTTCCTTCACTCCCTCCTCTTCAACCAGTGGCTGTCCCAGCTTCTGGCCTGCAGATGGGCAAATGGAAGCAGTTCACGAGTCAGAAGCAGGGGGTAGCAGAGGCAGAAGATCACCCTTCATCCCTCTTCCCTTCCTGTTCACCCTGACTTTCAGATAGGAAGCCACAGTAGCTCCTGGGGAGTGAGCAGAGCAGGCACAGGGTCCTGGTCTGCCTGCCTGGCTTGGGGGGCTGCCTTCCCTGCCTGCTCCTGCTGTTTCTGTAGGCAATATCACAGAATCATAGAATGTTTTGGGTTGGAATGGACCTTGAGAGGTCATTTAGTCCAGCCCTCCTGCGGTGTCCCCACACCAGGATGTGCAGCTGGGCATGTTTCAGCCTGGAGAGTGGCTGCACTGGTCCATAAAGGATGTTTTCTGTCATTTGTCTCGTGGAACTGCAGCTCCCAAGTGCATATTCCGTGGCCTGCTGGCTGCAGGGAGGGCTGGATCCCACACGTGAGCCCCAGAGCAGGCGGGGCAGCAGTGGACAAAACCTCTGATGGTAGGAAGGCCAGTTCCTGCACCCCGCTTGGCTGGCAGCACCTGCCCGAGGAGCCTGCCCTGAGCAGGGGGAGATGAGTGCTCAGTGCCCGCCGGGTCTGTGCTGTGTTTGGGCAGTGGCACAGGTACCACCCGGGTGCCCACCCAGCCTGGCTGGGCAGCAGACACGTGCCCCAGGCCCAGGGTGCCCCAGGGCTGAGGCTGCTGCTGGCTCTGGGTGGCCACGGGCCCCACGGTGACTTCTCGAGGCACACTTAGGGAGGCAGCTCTGGGGAAACCTGATCACAGCAGCAATGGCTCAGGACAGTTTGGGAGCTATATTAAGAGACCTGGAGCCACGCTAAAGGTTAGAGCAGCTTTGTCCTCCTGTCTGGAGATATCCTGTCTGGTCATGAGGTGGAATGATGAGAGCTGTCTTCCTTCCCCTGCTGCCACCTCCCAGCTAAAGCATTCAGCACTGGGCATGGGCAGAGGCTGCCCATAACCCCTGCTAAGGGGCTGTGTGGCACCCAGAGTCTGACACAGTCCCACTTGTCTCTTCAGGAGGTGTTCCTGTGAAGTTTGAACATCTCCACCACTTGTGACATTGGCTTGGTTCGGTTAAAAATCCACCTACTTAGGGGCTGTTTGTTTTTAAGTGCTGGGTGCTGAGCCCCTGGCCCAGGCTGCCCAGAGAGGTGGTCACTGCCCCATCCCTGGAACCATCCCAGGGGAGGTTGGCCGGGGCTCTGAGCACCCTGCTCTAGCTGCAGATGTCCCTGCTCCCTGCAGGGAGGTTGGACTAGGTGACCTTTGAAGGTCCTTTCCTCCCCAAACCATTCTAGGAGTCTATGAAGTGAAGCTGCCTCTTGCTGTTTGAAGTATCTGACAAAATACATAGGCTGAAGCCCATGGGTAACACGGTTGCTCTCGTGGGGCTGGGACAGATGCTGCTGGGCTGGGAAGGGGCTGGCACGAGCTGGGGCAGGCAGCAGGACATATGGGCAGAGGGTTTCTGGTAGTCAAGGGGGCAAGGTTGATGTGGGGAAGACCAGCAGCTCCCCAGCTCCAGAGGCTGCAGGGGAAGGTGCATTTTTACCTGCATGTGTTTAAAGTTGGATTTTACCCCTGAGGCTACATTCTGGGGTGGCAGGTAACACCACTGGAGTGCCAGGATGAAGATGGCCCTGACAGACTCTAGTCTTCTCTAGAGTCTTCTCTTCTAGTGCTTTTTACTAACTTCTATTGAACTTGTCACTTTGAAACATGTGGAACTATCACCTCAAACCAGAAGGCCCCGTGGTTCCAAAAACCATTCTCCTTTTGGTGAAGAATAAAGCCCAGCATGGGAACAGCCTTCTGAAATTTCTGGTTGGCCAGGCACAAGTTTCTGCATCTGTCATGCCCCAAAACTAAAGTAACAAAACATAGCAAACTGTTCCTCGTTAGCAAAGGTAATTCCTCTTGGGGAAGTCAAATTCCCAGTGCTGGGGAAGCACCAGGAGAGGAGATGGGAAGATTGCACAGACGTGGGACTACTTATTTAAGAACTGTGTCATTTTAAATAAGGAAAATGGGGTCTACAGGAAGCTCTGCAGAGGCTGGGAAAAGCTGCTTCCCATTTGTCACTGGAGCCTGGTGCTGGGTTTATTCTCTGTGTGATGTGGAATTCTTTCCTGTTCTAGGGATTTTGGAGTTTATTAGCCTGGCAGTGGGGCTGGTGAGCATCCGTGGGGTGGACTCAGGACTCTACCTCGGCATGAACGAGAGAGGGGAGCTGTATGGGTCGGTAAGTTCAAGGTTCTGTGCTGGTTACAACACCCTGTAGGGCACACAACCACACAGGGGCCTCAGCAGGGTCTGTCACAGGTCTCAGAAGCCCTTGGGCTGCCACAAGCCTCCACCCTACCTGTGATGCCACTGATCAAAGTGATAGAAATGAAATGGGGTTGCAGAGGGAGGAGACACTCGTGCAGTGAGAGCCCAGGGTGGTGCCCAGCCCCTGGGGAGCTCGGGGGGCCTGCTGAGCTTCTGCCTTTCAGAAGTGCTGTGGCAGTGGCCAGCTAGAGGCAGAGGGGGAATTCAGCAGAAGACATGGGGCTGCTCGTGTGTTTTCATTGCCTGAGTAATCAATTTTAGGATCTGTGTGTCCAGGATCTGCACCTATCTGCAGAATTTCTATTTACACTGTAGCTCTTGGGTGGGAGCTGAAGTTGTGGTCTGAGTGTTATTTTATTATAAGGTTCTCTACAACTTCTTTGAGGAGTTAAGGGGGTTGCTCATAATTTTCTAGAAGTGCCCTTTTTCAGACTAAAATCTTCCGTGCTTGGCCACAAATCAAGTGTAAACTCTGTGTTAGTTATTCACTCCAGATAAACTCCTGAACACCAATAAACTTTCCCTGACATCACCTCTAGCAGACTCTGCCCCACCCTGTGCTGCTGTAGGACAGAGGCAGCAGAAGACACCCCATTTCCAGTCCAGGCTCAGTTAACTGAATATAAAATAGCTATTTCTAGTTAACTAGAAGAATCCCTTCTCTTTTGAGAAATTCATTCCATTCTAATCATCCACTTCTACATTTCTCTTTCTGTAGCTGCTGCACTTCATTGGTGCTTTTTCTTCAGATGCCCCATTGCCTTTAATTCAACTCATTCCCCATGTGTGATTTTTTTTTAAATGCCTCTTGCTAGACCCCAGCACGACCCTGTGTGAGGATACTGATTTTTAAAGATGGATCACAGTGTCTTTGAAATGAAATAAAATGAAGAGTTTTAAACCAAAGCAGAAGGCACATGCTTCCCCTAACCAAATCAGTGCAGAAACCTAAACTGGTGTACTCTGGGTATAGAGAAGCCTTCAGAAAACCTTTGCCTAGCAAATAGACACAGGAAACATGAGTTTCCATCCTCTTTTCTTCTCCTGTGCCCATCTGAGGCTGCCCCAGACCCTTTCACTGCTGAAGATGCAGTCACTGGGAGTTACAGGAGGTAACCAAAGCCCAGCAGGCAGCAGTAGCTGCCCCTTTGCCTCTTCATTCCTGTAATAACCTCTGCCCTGAACAGAAGGTAGATGTGGAGACAGCAGTTAAACTACAAGTGTGCAAGGTGGATAAAAAGGCAAATCACCAGGATTCCATAAAACAGAAAATAACCTTAAAGCAGGGCTGGAACTCCTCTGCAGGGAGCCCAGCAGGAGAGGGGCAGCCTGGAGAAGAGAAGGCTCCAGGGAGACCTTCTGGGGGCCTGCCAGGGGCCTGTCAGAAAGCTGGGGACTCTCTCCAGTAGTTCCTTGTCTTGCTTGAACTGGGGAGCCCAGAACTGGACCAGATGCTCCAGATGTGGCCTCACTAGGGCAGAGTAGATGGGAGGAGAACCTTCCTCAACCTGCTGGCCACACTCTGCTAAATGCACCCCAGGAGACCATTGGCCTTCTTGGCCATGAGAGCCCGTTGCTGGCTCATGGTGAACTTGCTGCCCACCAGGACTCCTGGGTCCTTCTCCAGAGAGCTGCTTCCACCTTACACAGAAGCTGTGGCTCCCAACAGCCCAGTGAAAAGCAGCAGCTGAACTGGGGCAAAGCAGCAGCACCAGTTCAGCCCACCAGCAGTTCCAGTGTGTTCTGAGTTGCCAGTGTCCTAGGGTAAGACACAACCCAGCCTGCATTTATTGATGGATCTGGGGGGAGGAGCCCCTGGCTCCTGGGGTCTCGGCTGGCACAGGCAGTGGCACAGGCTTTGGGAGGGCTCACAGCTCACCACGGGGTCTAGTTAGTCAGGAGCAAACACTCCAAGTGGTTCTGAGCACGGGTGAGCTCCTGTCTCCCAGGACAAACCATCAGCTGCAGGCAGCAACGTCTGCGGAGCCTCGGGGGGGCCCGAGACGGGACGTGTTCCCCCACAGCCCCCCAGGATGGGAGGGGGTGGTGGGTCCCTCTGTGTCACAGTGCTGGCAAAGCCACCCGTGTCCTCGTGGGGCAGGGGCTGAGGCCGGGCACGTCCCTGTGGCTGGCACAGGAGAGGGGAGGGAGAGGGGAGGACCACAGGCACTGACAGAATGGCTGCTGGGGCTGCTACAGGGGCAGCGTGGCCAGGGCTGGGCCCTCATTGAGTTTTTTTATGGGGCACCTTTGCAAAATACACCCCCACCTTCTCCTCCTTCTCTTGTCTCTCCACTCCAACTTCAGAAGTCCTGGCTTGTAGGGCTCATGCCCATTTCCAGCTTCCACCCAGGGCAAACATCCCCAGCAGTGCAGTCCCCATCCTCCCATGGGCCAGCAGGGAGCTGGGAAACAGGAGAACAAAGCGAAGGAAGGAGGGAAAGATGGATTTCATTTCACTTTTGACACAAAGGTCTTTTTCTGCCCCCTCCTGCAGAAGAAGCTGACCCGGGAGTGCGTCTTCCGCGAGCAGTTTGAGGAGAACTGGTACAACACCTACGCCTCCACCCTCTACAAGCACCCCGACTCTGAGAGGCACTACTACGTGGCTCTGAACAAGGACGGCTCCCCCCGCGAGGGGTACAGGACTAAGAGACACCAGAAGTTCACTCATTTCTTACCCAGGCCTGTGGACCCTGCTAAAATACCTGCCATGTACAGAGACCTCTTCCACTACAGGTGATGTCCCCCGCGGCGGCCCCGGCACTGTACGTACCTGGGCTCCCAGGCTTCCCCCAGAGCACTCTCTCAGTAGTCATTCCATCCTTCCTGTGAGCACAGATGAGGTAGGGAGGCACTGCCACTGAGCTCAGACACTGCTCTTCCTCCTTGCCTCAGGCGTGTGTCGAGCCTGGGTCGTTCCTGGGGCTGGGGGCAGGGGAAGGGAGGGAACCCTACATATAATCTTCCATTTTCATTCACCTCCTTCACCCGGCTGCCACACGAGAACCTTAGCGTGGCTTAAAGGAACAAGCAGGCGAGCAAACCTGATCACCAAGGGGTGGACAAAAAAAACCCCACAGCCCAAAAATGGGAAGAAAACAAAAGACCACGGGGAGTGCTGCAGGTGCTGCTGCTAAGCTTGGGGTGGTTGCCTGCAAAGGAGAAGCCCTTTGAATGGCACCCTGCTTAAGCAGCCCGGGAGTTTGCCACATGGATGATGCCACGTGGACTGATCCTCACCCGTGGGGTTTTTCCTGCTGTTGGGGTGGGAATGGGGCGAGGAGCATTATTCAGATGTAAGCATGGATACTGTGCATAAGGACAAAACTATTTATAAAATGTATATGATATTTATTTTATATATTTATTTATTTCAAAATAATTTTATTTTTAATGAGAGATGCTATGACCGGATTTTCATCAGGAAGAATAAGGTCCTACTGAAACAGGAAAAAAAAAAAATGAGTTTTAAGAGCTTATTGGCAATAAAATTGTCTTTATATTGTAGAGTTCTCGCTAGCCCTTTTTTTTGGCACTCTTTTAACAATCAACTCAGTATTTCCCCATCCAGACAAATGTTAAGACCACCTCTGAAAAGGCTTTGTATGGAAAAGGTAAATCACCTAAACCTGGTGAAGATAAATTACCTGAGCCCCAGACTTTTGTACAAGGATGACATCAAATTATACCTGGAATGGAGCTTGGAAGCGTGACCCTGCTGAGATGTCCAGCTGGGTATCTCCTGAGACCTCATTTCCAAGAACTGCCAAACCAGTCCTGCAAGGGCAGGCCCCTCGGAGCACGGCTGGTGTCCTGGGGCTCTCCCTCCCCCCCGGCACCCCAGCAGGGCTGGGAAGCACCAGGACAGCTCCTGGTGTGGGGCAGCACCAGCTGAGACGCTCCAGACCCTGTGGATTAATTGTCCTGTCCAAAAATCTAGTGGGGAGACATTTGGAGCATCTGCTGGGGGTTTGGATGGACCCATCACTCCTGCAACAAAACCACCGCATCTCACGTGACGCCTGCTGGGAACATCATGGAACAAAGCCCTGGAGAAAAAGGAGACAGCAACAAATGCAATTGAAGAAAGCAATTTTAAAGCAGTGACTGTGGATGAAGATGGTCCCTGCAGGCAGTGCGTGGACCCTCATGGGCTGTGGGGCATTTTCCTCTGCAGAAGCTGCCTGGTCACCAAGTCCCATCACCTTTGCTCTGCCCGTCTGTCACTGCTGTGGGCAGCCACTGTTCCAGCTCCCAGGAGTGACCCCAGTGTATTTTGTCATCCCCTGTGACCAGCAGAGAGGGGTTTCTAGCACAGGAGCATGCAGTTGCCACAGCTTTTTGCAGCAGAGGGAGGCTGGTATGAAACAGGCTCTCCAGAGCATGCAGAAATACATCCAAGTAGAGGTTTGGGTTGGGATTTTCCTGATCACAGCCGTGTGTTCCACAGCATTGTTTCTCAGCCTCCTCCTTGCACAGCAGCCGAGGTGAAACCTCAGCTCCTTCAGCTTCAGTCTGTGAATCCCCAGGAGGGTTTCACCGACCCAGGGATGATGCACACCACGAGCTGTGCCACTGATGGGGCAGCAGCCCTGGTCTCCTGTCTGTCTCTTGTCCCCTCTGCCACCTCCCGTGTCCCTGCCACGTCCTGTCCCATCCCAGCCTCTCCCACACCGGGCCCAGCAGCCAGCGGGCACAGGGGGAGATTACAGGAGCTTTACCTCACTTGGTCCAGACAAGAAGGAATTTAATCCCGTGTTTGAAATAAAAATTGTTTATTTACCTTCTTCCTCTGAGTCACTGCTGAAGCATCTCACCCTCAGCCACCCTGTCGGGAGCACGGCCGCTCATGGGAAGGGTCCCAACGTGTACTTTTGACCTTCCCCTGTACGAAGGGAAATCCCTCAGAGCTCGAGCTTTGCTCTGACCCCAGGATGATCCTGCCTCCCTCTAGCCAGGACTCTGCATGGCACTTGAAGAGAAACTCAGGGGTTAAGATCCTGCTCCTCTTCTTCAAAACCAAGGTCAAAGCCTCATCTCAGCGATGCCGAATGGAATTGTTCATCCAGTACATGAATCCAGAGCTGCCTCAGTGGAGGCTCCTGCTGCGAAGGGCTGTGCAGATGCCAGGGGTGTAAAACACCTTTCCAGGAGCTGGGCTCAAAAACCTGCTCCTTACAAACAACAAAATCCACAAGGAATTCACTGGAAACCCCTGGGTAAAGGTTGGTGGCACCTCCCACGTGGGACCTTCTTTCAAGGGGGACATTCAGAATTGCTGAATGCCACCCAGACGGTTGCTTCCAGCAGGA